AAGTACAATCAAATCCTCTTTACGTAGTAAACGAGATAAATTTTTATTTCATTATTTTTACGGCATTTAAATAAAAATCTGGATGATTAAAAAAAATTGACGGTTGTACAGCCAGAATAAAAATTCTAACTACACAATAAATATTTTTAGAAGTGAAATACATCGATTTGATGAAAATCAAAGCAATCGTTAGGTAATAAAAAATAAGGATTTGTACATCCAAGCGAGACAGGCTTACATCATTTTCATCTCAACGGTATATATGATACATAAAAAAAGTGTACACATTAATTATTAAAAAAAATGATATGAGACTTGTTAAAATAATCGAATGAACCCTGCAATTTTGAAAAAAAAATATTATCATAGGCAAAAATAACTTTTTAGTTATCATGAAAGAGGAAAAACGGTGACCGTAATATTGTGTATGAAAAATACGCGGCTCGTCTATCGAATTCTTTAACCTTACGTGACTGAAATAGTAAAAAAAGTGTATCTGGATACACTTCTTGTAAATATTAGAAAAAATTCAACTAAGCGTGAACGCTCACACTAATACACGATTAATTGCTGACAGTTGCACGGGAAGGTATAGTTAAAACAACGTACTTACTTACAAACCATTGCGGGTCGGCGGCGCTTCCGCGATAATTGGTGTGTAAAGATAATGCACGTACGCCCTACTTACAAGAACATTAATCCAATTGAAAGCTTGCATGTGTGCGGAAAAGGCGAATTTTTATATTTACTTAATACATCGAATCAATTTATGACGATTTTCAACGCCATAAATGATAAGTTCGTGATTGATATACGCATACATGCAGCGTGCAGATGAATAAAATAAGCTCAATGAACAAAAAGCTTATATAATGAATTAAAAAATTAAAAATAAATATAATGTAAAAAGTTGAAGGCATCCGATTTAAACAGTAGAAAACTAGATTTTTTTCCCTCAGATATTTTCGAGAGACAATTTTTCATAAAAAATTAATTAAAATAATTAAAAACCGAGCACGAGTCCAAAATCCATCACCATTGCCAAATTTTGTACGTACATATTCATATTAGTTAGTACTATGCTGGCTCTTTTTATTGATGTTTACTTTTCATTTAATTGTTTTTTTAAATCCTTAATTTAATCTATGTTTCTTGTGTGTGTTAATTTATTTATTTATTTTTAATATAATGCCGTTTGATTATGTGGAATGTTTAAATTTCATTTATTTTTTATTTTTTTTACTTGTATTTCATATTATTCGATTTTTTGAATCAGCCCCGAAAATGCAAATAATAAAACTAAATGAACCCTTAACAATTATTTGTAAGTGGTATGTAAAATTAAATTTTTTATAGGTACACAAGACATACAAACAGCTTCTTACGTATGTATTAACAGAACAACTTACTTATAAAAAAAATATTATTTGCTTAAACGACAACGTATTAATTAAAATACTTATTCTTTTTTAATAAAAAACTTATTAATATTTAATTTTAAGCAATTTTAATTAAATTAGAACTATCAAGATTCAAAGCTTTTTAAATTGTAATAAAAACATGTAGTTAAATAAACTAACTGCCATGCAACTGTGCTTTGACAGTAAATTTTCAACTGCAAAAATCAAGACTGGTATATAAATTTCTGCCCTCTTATTTTTGTTATTCCTTGCCGAGAGGTAGTAAAAAATTATTTACACACGATGGGGTCAAAAAATACAGTCTAATATCTTATGTTTTGTTCACATAACTGAAACATTTTTTACTTTTAGTCTCTAGACGTTTAACTTTTTTTAAGGAATATTTTTCAAAGTAATTATAATAAATTCTTTCTTTTTATGGAATAAGCAAGAAAATAAATTAACAAAATATAAAACAAGAAATAATAAAAAACTGGAGTTTTCAAAACCTTAAATAAAAAAAGTAGAAAGTTGGAATATTCCGTTGAATTTGATTTATTTTACGCATGTATATTCTCATGTATATTCATTAAATAAGTAAAATAAAGGAGAAAATACGGGAAAATTCTGCAACATAGTAAAAATAACAGTGGCTCAATGAAAAATTATTATTATTTTTGTGTTACCTTTAACTATCAATATAATTGATTTTTTTTATTGCAATATGCATGTTTTATCATTTTATAAAGGAATTTTTATAATAAATCTTATGTGTCGCTACCAACTGTAGATACATAAATCGAGTGTGAAAAAGTATTTTTTAAAAACGCAAAGTAGAAATAGATACTGTACGTATAAAGTATTGAGCATAAATATAAAATAAAGTAGAGTCTTATATACATTGTAGAATGACATAAACAAGTACTCGTGATACTAGAATTCCCACTATAACCAATAACAATTAATGCTATCAGTACCAGTCAGCAATGTTACTATAAAATGCGTGCATAAGAATAATTTTGGTGATTAGCAATGTAATATCGAAAATTTTTTTATTTTACTTCGAGTAGACTGATGTATCCTTTTTTTTAATTTTTTTACAGTCAAATTTTTTATAATTTAAAAATATTTATAATAATTTCATACACTTTGAATTCTGATGCAATTATTTTTTAAAGCACCATCATGCAAACTCTTGAATATAATGAAACAAATATACGAATATATGAAAAATACGAAAAGGTGCATAGTAACTAGATATAGAAAATATAGTATAATAATGAAACATGTATCGAAAAGCCTTTCACGCTAAAAAATAAAAAATTTAAGTGGTGATCCTACAACTGAGCCATTACAAAATAAAAAATCATACCAATCCACTGCGTACAATCAAATCCTCTTTACGTAGTAAACGAGATAAATTTTTATTTCATTATTTTTACGGCATTTAAATAAAAATCTGGATGATTAAAAAAAATTGACGGTTGTACAGCCAGAATAAAAATTCTAACTACACAATAAATATTTTTAGAAGTGAAATACATCGATTTGATGAAAATCAAAGCAATCGTTAGGTAATAAAAAATAGACTAAAAGTTGCACTCGTGACGCCTGCATCTCTCCTATCTCTCGGGGACCCGCCTCGCATATATATACCTGCGACCGAGTTTTACGAGGAGCATATTATATTACGATGTGCGCCGTACTACACACCGCGCCCACACGTTCGCTGCAGCGCCACGTTCAATATGTATATGATTATAATATGCACGCACTTTCGCATTTTTCACTCGCCAGAACCGACCTTCGCNGCACATAGTAACTAGATATAGAAAATATAGTATAATAATGAAACATGTATCGAAAAGCCTTTCACGCTAAAAAATAAAAAATTTAAGTGGTGATCCTACAACTGAGCCATTACAAAATAAAAAATCATACCAATCCACTGCGTACAATCAAATCCTCTTTACGTAGTAAACGAGATAAATTTTTATTTCATTATTTTTACGGCATTTAAATAAAAATCTGGATGATTAAAAAAAATTGACGGTTGTACAGCCAGAATAAAAATTCTAACTACACAATAAATATTTTTAGAAGTGAAATACATCGATTTGATGAAAATCAAAGCAATCGTTAGGTAATAAAAAATAAGGATTTGTACATCCAAGCGAGACAGGCTTACATCATTTTCATCTCAACGGTATATATGATACATAAAAAAAGTGTACACATTAATTATTAAAAAAAATGATATGAGACTTGTTAAAATAATCGAATGAACCCTGCAATTTTGAAAAAAAAATATTATCATAGGCAAAAATAACTTTTTAGTTATCATGAAAGAGGAAAAACGGTGACCGTAATATTGTGTATGAAAAATACGCGGCTCGTCTATCGAATTCTTTAACCTTACGTGACTGAAATAGTAAAAAAAGTGTATCTGGATACACTTCTTGTAAATATTAGAAAAAATTCAACTAAGCGTGAACGCTCACACTAATACACGATTAATTGCTGACAGTTGCACGGGAAGGTATAGTTAAAACAACGTACTTACTTACAAACCATTGCGGGTCGGCGGCGCTTCCGCGATAATTGGTGTGTAAAGATAATGCACGTACGCCCTACTTACAAGAACATTAATCCAATTGAAAGCTTGCATGTGTGCGGAAAAGGCGAATTTTTATATTTACTTAATACATCGAATCAATTTATGACGATTTTCAACGCCATAAATGATAAATATTAAAATTTTCATTATCTGTTTTAAACTCAAAAAGTAAAATTGTTGGTTTTATTTGAATGTTATTAAAAACATAAATGTACAAAAATCAATAATTGTNAAGGTATAGTTAAAACAACGTACTTACTTACAAACCATTGCGGGTCGGCGGCGCTTCCGCGATAATTGGTGTGTAAAGATAATGCACGTACGCCCTACTTACAAGAACATTAATCCAATTGAAAGCTTGCATGTGTGCGGAAAAGGCGAATTTTTATATTTACTTAATACATCGAATCAATTTATGACGATTTTCAACGCCATAAATGATAAGTTCGTGATTGATATACGCATACATGCAGCGTGCAGATGAATAAAATAAGCTCAATGAACAAAAAGCTTATATAATGAATTAAAAAATTAAAAATAAATATAATGTAAAAAGTTGAAGGCATCCGATTTAAACAGTAGAAAACTAGATTTTTTTCCCTCAGATATTTTCGAGAGACAATTTTTCATAAAAAATTAATTAAAATAATTAAAAACCGAGCACGAGTCCAAAATCCATCACCATTGCCAAATTTTGTACGTACATATTCATATTAGTTAGTACTATGCTGGCTCTTTTTATTGATGTTTACTTTTCATTTAATTGTTTTTTTAAATCCTTAATTTAATCTATGTTTCTTGTGTGTGTTAATTTATTTATTTATTTTTAATATAATGCCGTTTGATTATGTGGAATGTTTAAATTTCATTTATTTTTTATTTTTTTTACTTGTATTTCATATTATTCGATTTTTTGAATCAGCCCCGAAAATGCAAATAATAAAACTAAATGAACCCTTAACAATTATTTGTAAGTGGTATGTAAAATTAAATTTTTTATAGGTACACAAGACATACAAACAGCTTCTTACGTATGTATTAACAGAACAACTTACTTATAAAAAAAATATTATTTGCTTAAACGACAACGTATTAATTAAAATACTTATTCGTTTGAAATCTTTGATAAAAAATTATAGAAAACCGACAAATACTTGTACTTAATACCACGGAAAGAAAAATCTACAGATTCATAAAAAAAAATGACTTACATTTCATTAAAAACTAAAAACCAACAATAACATTTTTTAAATTTTTTTAGGCAACTTTAGTTTAAAAACTCTGTTTATCTATCAACAAAAATCCAGAGAGAGACAAATTCAGAGACAGCAAGTGCAACTGGCTGTTCTGGATGACAACCTGGCATATCATAAATACGATCACAATTAATTATTCTTAGCAAGCGAGCATTTTATAAATTGAAAGAAAGAAAAAGTTATAGGTGCTATAGTTACATTAACAAAGGATGCCAGTTTTTCGAAAATGATGACATTAGTAATAATAAACAAAAAATACCCAAGCAATTCAAAATCAACGTGCTGAATCATGGGAGGTATACCTAATAACGATTTTATTAAAAACAAACATTTAAAGTAGAAAAATCGATTATATTATAGAAAATTAACAGACCATCCATAGTTTTTTTGTGGGGTTGGAAGTAACTTGTGTAAAATTGGGCAAGACGTACTTATACGATTACGTAGATGGTAGAAGTATCCGAAATAAAACGGTATGAGGTGGTTGGTAAAACATATATTAGATGATCGAAGATACAATTTTTTGCACGTATTTGATTGGACTTGCGGGCGAGCGAGCGCTAACGTGAATTTAATATTCAAATGCAAACCAAACGAAATAAATGAGAGTCAGAGAAAAGCCGAAGTTGCTTGCATGAAAATTAATGAATTATATATTCATGAATATACATATACATACGAATATATAAATATACATATATATAACCATATATACATATACATAATACTGTACCCGAAGTATCATCGGTTGCGAGCGCGCGACTTAGAAATTATAGTATGTAGTAAAAAAAAAAAGTTGGAATGAAATGCTTTATTAAGAAAACTTAAGGAGGAAGTAGATTGTGACTACCAGCGGCGATACCTTCGTCTGTATAAAATCAAACTAAAATTAATCAAAGCTCAGAATAAATCAAAATTCGCTTCGGGGTCAAGTGACCGTGAAGCGACATCGTCTTCTTCCTTCCGTTCCCTTGTTCTCTGGGTGGCATAAGTATTTTTGAGCACTGGAAAAAAAATATGTTCGTTTGATTACCTGTGAGTGTTTTGAGGTGAACTAGCAGAAAATGAAATAATGAAATTAAAAAAAAATAAAGTAAAATAGAGGACACACGCGTACACGCGACATTAAGGCAAAAAAAATATTATAAATATGAAAAAAAAAATAAATAAAGCAACATAGTAAAAATAACAGTGGCTCAATGAAACCATATGGTATGAGAAAAATTATATATGCATCCTAATTAAAAGAAAACAAAAAAATAACAGTGGCTCAATGAAAAATTATTATTATAAAAACAAAAGTGGAAAGAGAATTGGAAGCGTATAATATAGTGAATGAAATTGCGTAGTCTTAAAGACACTGAATTGTATTAGACAAAAAAAACGTCCGAGAAACGGCGTAGCATAGAAAAAATATATAACGTGAGCAATTAAAGTTTCGAAAAGAGACACGTGCGAGTAACAAAAAGAAAAAAACATGTATGATATTATACATATGCATAATATAGCGCAAAAATATATTATAAATAACGAAGGATGAATATAAATATATATATAAATTGCAAACTCTTGAATATAATGAAACAAATATACGAATATATGAAAAATACGAAAAGGTGCATAGTAACTAGATATAGAAAATATAGTATAATAATGAAACATGTATCGAAAAGCCTTTCACGCTAAAAAATAAAAAATTTAAGTGGTGATCCTACAACTGAGCCATTACAAAATAAAAAATCATACCAATCCACTGCGTACAATCAAATCCTCTTTACGTAGTAAACGAGATAAATTTTTATTTCATTATTTTTACGGCATTTAAATAAAAATCTGGATGATTAAAAAAAATTGACGGTTGTACAGCCAGAATAAAAATTCTAACTACACAATAAATATTTTTAGAAGTGAAATACATCGATTTGATGAAAATCAAANTTAAATCTAAATATATACGTGTTTCTTGTAAAAATAAGTGCTGTTTGAATTTATTTTTCTTTAAAAAAACTATAATTTTGTTTAAAACATCATACGGCTTGTAAGATATCTTCTGTTAAAAGGTAAGTGAAAATTATTGAAATTATTGTAATAGTACTTAAAAATCATAATTTTTCTGAAGGTATTAGTGCACAAACTTTTCAATTTTAAAGGTGATAAAATTTATCTTCAACTCAATGTGATTGTAATGCTAATCTAATTAAAACTATAAACATTTATGGAATATTTCTTCAAAAATTTATTCGATTAGATAAAAGCTGAATTTATTTACTTTTAATTGTTTTTTCAATTCAGTTGTCTTCAATTCATAAAAAACCTACAACATTAGTGTTAGATGCCTTGAATAATCATTAATTTCAGCATTGATCGGATCTAAAGTGATGTCTGGGACAATAGTTACGTGAGTTCCAACCCAATAATCAGTCTCCCATACCATATCTCAAGTTGAACTTTAACAAAAAAAAAAAAAAAAAAAAAAAACCAATTGTAGATCCCCCCCGCAGCCAGTCAAAGAAGAATCCATCGAGCAACCCCGAAATATCGCCACTCTTCCTCGTTTAGCGCCAAAGGTGGCCCCATCAGATCGAAACAATGGAAAAACAATATTCTCTTATAATAGCCCGTAAATCCCCACCTCGCGCATGATTTATTAAAACCCGATCCCCTTAAAACCGGGCCAGTGACAAAACCGTCCATAAAACTAACTTTACGATATACAGCAGCCCGCGATACGTAGATGTATAGATACACGGGGCGAAAAATAATTTTCCCCGATACACGCTCTGCCGAATCAACCTGTTACTTCGCGCGGCCAAGGAGCCCCGGGGCTCGACACGTAAAACTAATAAAAGATAACGTACAACACGCCCACACACTTACGCACCCACAAAACGGAAGGACCTGATTTAGCGATTCCATTATTCCGCTTCGAGATAAAGTAAATTAATTACACGGAGCTCCCCCGGGAGGGGAGGGGACCTCTCTCGTATTCCTTAATAACCGCGGGCGGAAAATAATTCCACGGCGGCTCGTTTAATTTCGGATCGGGGAGATAGGCCACGGGCTTTTACGACCCGGCTACTTTTTAACAATCGTACGCCCGTGCAACCCCTGCTCGCGATAAAGGCACGGACACGGACGAATATCCCGGAAAGTAAACCATATGGGCCTGTTTCGTCGTGGATGTGGATAGTCGATTGGAGGCAAATCAGGTGGTGTATACGCGTGAATCCAAAGTGTGTATTTTATGTACAGCGAAAAGGGAGCTCTGATGCACGGAGCGAGGAAATAAAAATAGGGGAGGGAAAGGGTTGGGCGTAAAAGTTACAGAGAAAGCCCCGTTACAACCATGTATATACATACGTGGAGGGAGAAATACATATACACGTATGACACGTGTGCAGAGGCATAAACAACAATTAGTGGTAATCCGCGTGACACGGGCACGCCAGCACCCCTTGGCGCGTATTATAGAGCATTAGCCTGTGTACCGTGTGTGTAGGAGGGGGATACGTGCGTCATTCCGAGACGCTTGGATATTATGTTACGTATACGTGTGTGCACGGTATTGTGTGTGTACAGGTGAGGTATGTCCGGTATATGTCATATACTCTCGTTGCAAAGCCTTGGCCCGGTGGCCCTTGGATGGAAGAAAAAAAAAAAAAAAAGAGGATTAATTGCGTCCGGAGCGTAAATATACTGTAAAACCGAGCAGCGATGGAAATGAAGAAAGCCCGCGGGGATTGTGGGAATTTTCGATCGGTGCTTTTCGAGCTTAACTCTGAGTTACATCTGATTTTTTTCGCTTGCTTTTCAAAGTTGATATGTGTAACAAGGACTTGCGCCTCGACGGGCAGGCGCGTGGGTTTTGGACAATGTGTGAAACGGACGTACGAAAAAGAGCCCGCAGCTCGTAGAGACGGGTGGAAAGCGACAGGGATGAAGAATGAAAAAAACGCCAGCACTACGGCCAAATGAAAAGAGTCTCATTACTCAAGTCCCGTATAATCCGCTCGTTTAATTAAGTTAATTAGACACCCCCCCCCCTTACCGTGCCTTCTAATGTTATATAGGTGTCTGCCCACTTGTGTGTATCGAGAAGCTCCCGATCGCGGGATGTCGGGTTTCCTTGCGCCCGTATGTTTCGCGCGAGGTGTTTTATGACTTCTTTTTCTACAGGAGGAAGGGTATTTTTTTACAGACTTTGGCTCAAAATTTTCCCACTCTCAAAGCGTGTGGGTGTCCCTAATTACCCGCTAGCTGCGGAGGAAAGGGGTTTTGTTGATATTCGTCTCGATGCCGCGGAATGTTTGAAAAAGTGTATTAAGGCAAGGATCATTTATTTTGCGACCCACTTTTACAGACGTTTTCGTGAACATTCGTTTGGTATTATTTATGCCGAGCGATTTTTTTGCTAATTACTAGTTAAAAAACATTGATTGAAAAAATATTACCTAGGAATAACGATGTATTGCACTTGAAAAGAAAAAACAATCTAGATAAAAGATCGTCAAAGTATTTAAATGTTTTGTTCATAACAATAAAAGTAAATGTATAAGATGTTCAACCCTTATTTGAGAGAATAAAAATTTTTCCCAATATTTTATTGTGAATGGTGTCAAATACAAAATTGTTTCGTGAGAAAAAACAATTTCTTACCCATAAAATAACTGTTCTCAAATCTGGTCTGCATCTGGATACATTTAGTATTTTTTTCCGACTCTTTCTAATATTACTTTCATAGATTTTTTTGTTGATCCCTCCGAGCAAGGACAGTTTCCTTCTGTGCGCGACTTACATATAGTTTCATCATCAGTGAGCTTAACTTTCTGTATACATTAATTGTAATTTAGTTAGGATTGAATTGTTTTTTCCATCCCCGAATCTAGCGGTCAACACTGGTGGAGAGACCCTTTCACTAAGCTTTAACGTTGAATTATTATCAATCCCATGTTCTAACATCGTGTTTTTTAATTAACTGTGGGTTTATTTTGTAATGTAATCATAATCCTCGACCATATTCAATCATACTCATGGATCAGAGTGTTTTTCATTAAAATTTAATGAAAATTAAATACAATTTGGCAAATCGTCACATCCACCCATCGCGGTCTGACAGAACGCTGACTCGTACTACTTAAATATAAAAAATATCAATTTAGCCGCTGAATTTTTATTTAATATTCAAGAACAAAGTGACCATTCCGCATCAACGTAGGCCATACATGTGAATTAAATGAACAACCGGATGGATTTTCATGTATATTGTATACACGCGTCAGAGCTCATCTCGGCGATGATAAGAGCAAATGCATTTAATTAAAACCGAACGATTGAAGCGAAAAAATTAACCGCATTTTTCCAACAAAACTCGCATGTTACACGAAAAGCCCGTCCATGTAATTTTCACGTGCACGGGGCTATTTAACAGTACGAAATTCGCGTTATTCCGCCAGCCATCATCAGGGGGTAACTGCGATCAGCAAATATGAAAATGCATGGAGAACGAGGAGCAGAGTACAATGGGGGAATTTTTAAGGACCGAGGGAGCTCTCGCCAAACGGGGAACAATGCGTTTTCATTTTATTTTTCCCCCCTTCGCCCCTTTTCTCGGCTGCGCCGAATCGCATAATAATTACGCTTAAATAATACGAAATTACGCCTCCACCCCCCCGCTCGTGGTTTGAAGTACCGAATTCCTCGAAAACAATGAATATCGTAATAACAACAATAATTGACTATATGATCGAATGTCTAAACAAATGGAAACGCGATATTTCTGTTATTTCATTTGATGGGAAGCTGTGTCGGCGCATATATATATATATATATACGTGTACGTGATGTATTTTGTTACGGTTGGAAAAATATAATCAATACATGAGCTGCCCGGAAGGAAGGAAGAAATAATTGTATGCATGTACATATTGACACAAAAACCATATTGACGTTACGCATTATTGAATGAAATGAGTTTCAGTATATATACGCGCGTTTTGGGAGAAAACAATTTTAGTAAAAAATGTTTAAAGTCATATCAATATTTTACGATGCGTTGCTTTGGTGGGGCTCCCATTGAGTGTAATTTTGATATACTCACATACTGGTACTCGTCGAAAGTCAGAAATT